AGGGCATCACCTCTGCCTGCCTCATCGCGTCCCTATGGCCCCTAACCTGTGCTCACTTGGCCTCACGTGCCTCCCTAAGGCCACAGCTCTGCAGGACTGGGTCTGGAGCGTCTGTCACTTGCTCTTGCAATTATGAAGGCTGAAATTTCCATTCTTTTTTTAGGAAGAGGAAGGAGAAAGAGTGGTGATACGGAATTGGTCAGTGCCGTCCAGAAAGATGACTTGCTTTCCAAGCCCACAGCTAGCAATTAAGTTGAGTGGTCTTGGATCAAGTTCTGGGATGTAGTCCCCCTAAATTGAAAGCCTGCAGCCCCAGCTGGAGACATGCCAACGCCTTGACCTTGCTTTGAGGACAGAGGAGCTGAGCTGCCCCTGCCCCAACCCCTGAAGGCTCAGAATAGGCCCGGTGAAGGGCGCAGTGAACTCAGGGAGCCCAGCTCTGGTTCAGGGGGCACGCAGTGGGAGTGGGCTCTAACAGGAGCTGTGTAACAGGATGGATCTCTACTCCAGGACCCACGTCCTGCACTCAGGACTCTACTGTGAGAGTCCCGGGAAGGAAGAAAAGTTTTGCAGAAGCGGGAGCTGCAGTTACTGATCTTGGGCATGTTTTGAGCCATGCCAGGAGTGCTCCATTTTCTCTGCATTGATGATGAGGACAATCAAGCTTGTTTTCTGCCTTAAAGGCGATCTTGATTAAGGGGCATAAGGTACAAGAGAGAGTGAGGAAAAAGCTTGGGACCCGCAGACAGTGAGCGATCCATGCATTTTATTTCAAAGAAACTATAAGCTCCGTACGTGTCTCCAGTCCCTTGGTGCCTGCCACGCTGCGCAGTGAGGTGCTGCCCACCACACACCCTAAATGTGCGGGACAGGTGAAGTGAGCAGTCAGACAGCTAGAACAGACGTGCCGTCTTACTCCACCTGCCCACTCGACCCGCCAGCCTCACGGTGCAGGAGAAACTCACTTTTATTTTAAGTCCCTAAACTGCTCACTCTTGTGACCCTCCTGCCTCAGTGTCCCAGAGTACAGGGATTACAGGTGTGCATCAGCACGCCTGGCCTCCTTCCTTCTACATTTTCTTTCCTTCTTTGCTCTCTCATCTCCTCCCCTCTCCTTCTCCTCTCCCCTCCCCTCTGCCCTCCCCTCTTCTTCCCTCTTCTCCTCTTCCCTCCTCTCCTCTCCTTGATTTCGTGCTGTGTAACCTTAAGGGCCCTGCACTGAGCTCTATCCTCCATCACTGTTTATTTTTTCTTTTGAGACAGGCTCTTGCTGAGACACTAAGTTGCCCAGACTGGGCTCAGGTTTGCAATCCTCCTGCCTCAGCTTCCCAGAGTGCTGAGATTACAGTGTAGTCTCACTTTCTTCCTTCAAATTTCGATGGTGGAAATTTAGATTATTAGTTTGAGATATTCTTCTAGTACGAGTCTTTAATACCCTGGATTTCTCCCTCTGCATGGCTTTATTTGATCTTCTTCTGCAAATTTGGGCACGTAGAATTTTCCTCTTCCCTCATTTAAAGATCTTTCTTAATGTCTCTGGGACTTCTCTGTGGTTCATTCTGAAGTGTATTGTATAACCTCAGGTTCCTCATTCTCGCTGGTGTGTGTTCAGCCGTCAAGGACACCCCATCTTGGCGTGCGCTCTGTGTGTGCGAGGGAAGATCCTTGTCCTGCTTTTGGGAGGTGCAGTGCTCCCAAACTGGGAGCATCTAATATAATGACACAGTTTGGTTTCAACTGAAAAGCTAGCTGTAAACACATTGTGCTAACAGTTACCGAGAGAAGGTTGGAATGCATGTCAGTGTCTGCCTCAGCTCATCCAGATACGGGCACAAAGGAAGAGGAGTAGAGACGGACACACTGTGAAAACGGGGCGCTTGATGATGTGCCCAAGAGGAGGAAGGGACGAGTTCACAGGTGTAGTCAGGGACAGCAACACTCTTCCCTCAGGTCCCGGTGACACTGCAGGTAAGGATTCAGCAGGACAGAGAAGAGCTGCAAACACCGCCCCCTGGGAGTGACAGCTTGGGAGCTACCAGTTCCTGCCACCCAGCCCTGCCTCCCTGCTGTGTGTTGCAGTTAACTCATGTATTACCTTTATTGACCCTGAAAATCCCACAAAAATGTGAGGACTGTTCATTTCTCCTAACAGAATGTGCACTTGGAATTCCAGCGAGGGTCAGTCGCACTCCGTAACCGTGCTGGGCCTGGGAGTTGACCCACAGCACCACAGCCATGGTGGCCTGCTGTCCTGGTCACCTCTCTGCCTGACTCTGCAATGCTCCCTGGGCATCAGGCTCCGGCCCCCTCTTTGCATTTCTCTGGCCAGAGGGCTGAGACTCTGTTCACCCCACTGTGACACGAGGTTCCCAGGACTCTTGCACCCCTGTAGCCAGAGCAGAGAAAGCACCGAGAGAGAGAGAGCAGGCTCCACACCTCATTCTGCTCTCCTGAGGTCCACTCAGGGGCTCAAACGGTGAAGTTAAGTCAGGGAAGCTGGGAGGAAATCCAACTGCAAGACTTCTAACCTTTATCTTTTCCAGTCTTCCTACTTCTGATTCCTTTAGAACAACCTCAAATTGATGCTCTCCGTGTTACTCCCCAGGTTTTGTAGCTGAAACATGAAGGTGCCGTGTGTGGACTCCGTCTTACCTGGAATCATAGCTTGAAACTACGATAGACAGTGACAGTGACAGCCTGAAATCCAAAAGTGACCGGAACGGCTGTGCAAATTGCCTGTCACTTCACACAGGCTCATAAAGGAGAGGGCCCCTCTCCAAACAAGGACATATTTTCAGAGTGAAAGAAAGCAACTGGACAAAGCGTGTAACCAGTAGCCAGAGCTCGTGACCACCTTAAATCAGGCGATGCCCTGGGGAAGTGGCTCTCTCTTCTGATGGTAAACTCTGAGGTCAGCTGTGCAAGCCCGAGGCCCTTCACTTGGTTGATTTCCATGTAGAAAATGTAAACACGCTCTTGTGCCCCGTGCTCACTAGTCATCTGCTGGGTACCCACGTACCTGGGGAAAACAAGTTGTCACCCTCACTGGCTCTGTTTCAGGCTCCCTGGTGCAGCTGGCACAGTGGGAACCTCTTTTCCAGAGCTAAGGACAGAGCCCCAGATCACCCACAGCACCGTGACAGCAGGGTCTGGGGCCGCAGAGCTTCTAGAGCTGGAGACCACAGAGAGATGCTGGCAGAGAGATGCTGCATGAGCTCCTCCTGCCTGCTGGGACCCGCAGGATCCTGCCCAGAAACTTCCAGGCCTAATTTATACCCTTCAGCTCCCTGTAACTTCTACACAGGAATTTCCAACAAGCATGTTGCGTGGTCCCAAAGCCACAGCGGTCTGTGTGATGTGGGCGCCTCCCTCTGTGAAGAGAGATCACACGGGCACTGTGTGGCCACAGGACAGTGCCTGAGCTAGGGTCATCTTCAGACCAGTGATGTGACACACCATGGGTGCTGCTTCCCTTCACTGCCCAGGTGGGAGCTCTCTGGTCCTGTCCATCCCTTCCCACCCCATTCATCCCACCTCATCCTATCCCATTAATTCCATCCCACTCATCCAATCCCATTCATCCCATCCTACCTCATTCCATCTCATCCATCCCACCCCAGCCCAGCCGAGCCCATCAGGGTAGACCACATGGGAAGAAGCCTATTCTCCGAGCAGGAAGGAGCACTCTTCTGGCTGAACTCTTGTGAGGAAAGCAGAACAGAACAGGACCAGCCTCATCAACCAAGCAAGCTCCTGGCCTCCCGCACCTCACCCGCTGCTTGGGAGGACTGAAGGCTGAGGCTGCAAGGCTAGGACACACACGGGGAGGCCAGGATCGCCAGGTAGATGGCTCAGACCAAAGCCCCTCCAGGCTCCATCCCAGCTGCTTTTGGATGCTAGGTACCCTTGTTTCCCCAGTGCGGCGGGCTGCTCAGTCTTTTGGTGGCTGTGCCAGCATGGTGGAAGAGCTGGTCCACACCTGTCTTCTTCCTACACCCCGTCAGTCCCTAAATCCAGGGGCCCAGGGCAAGACTGCATACTTGAGGCTCTGCATGAAGCTTGTTGGCCAGGGAGACAAGAGGGCTGCACCGCGGGCTCCTCTGCTCTGCAGCTGTATCCTGTCAGAGACTGTCATCCCCAGGAATGGTCTCCTCCCTCCACAGGTGTCCCCCACACACGATGGTGTTTTCAACTTTATCGTGTTGAGAGTGTGACATGAGTTGCACCTGCATGCGGCTCTTTCCCAGGGGACTGCGAGGCACAACTACCATCAGCTTTGCAGGTCACAGGCAGCAGCCCCTGCCCGGGAGCATGTGGGATGCCCAGCTAGGACGCCAGCGAGGAGTGCGCTGGGTGTGCTTCACTGACACACTTCTCAGTGCACCCCGGGTTCCTGGTGGCACTGTCCCACGGCAGGTTCAGAAGCAGCTGCAGCTCTGGTGCCCAGAGTGGTCAGCGTGCAGTGACCAGCGAGGATGCCTGCAGCCCTGTCCCAGCCAGGTCCTGCCAGCCATCGCCCCTGCCCTCACTCTTCTGCGGCCTGGTGGGGCCAGGTGAACACAGCTCAGGACATAGAGAGCGGGAAGGTGCGCAGAACGGAAAGAGCCGGGGGCAGTGGGCTTTCTAGCTGCAGCATTTTGAGGAGCCTCCATGCTGATTTCCACAGTGGCTGCACTGACTTCCAGTCTCACTCACGAAGGAGAAGGGTCCTTTCCCCCCCAAGGCTGGCTAGTATTTATGATGCTAGATTTCTTGACTACGGCCATTCTTTCTGCATAAGATGGACCCATGGATACCCATGTCGGTAGCAGCACAACTCATCCTAGGTTAGTCTTGGAAGCACCTGGCTGCTCATAAGCAGCTCAACAGATCAGAAAATGTGGTATTTACACGCTATGGAGTACTACTCTGCCATCAAGAAGGATCAGTGTCAGTCCTTTGTAGGGAAGTGGACACACCTGGAGACCATCATGCTGAGTGACATAAAGAGAAACACAAACTTCAACATCACATGGCCTCTTTTATGTGGAAACCCAAACCATAAATAAAGAGAAATGTAAGAGATAGAAAGTAGGAAAGAGGGACACACAGCGTGCTGAAATGGGCATGGGATCAAGACGGAGGGAGGGAAAGGGGATGGGAAAGGAAGAGAGACTCACTCTGCACCCGCACTGGCTCCACACAAGGGCTGCAAACGTCACACACTGCACACATGCACTTGGGAGTTTTAAAAATGTGTCTGATGTGCTGATGTTTATCTGACTGCCCATGGGTACAGCTCTGCCTGCGACAGAGGCAGGAGGCTGAGGCAGAAGCAGGAGTCCCTGCAGGTCCAGTCGTGTTCCCCTCCCAGTCCAGGAAGTCAGGGGCCCTAACTGGCCTCTCCGGATGGACGGCAGGAGGAAGATGCTGCCTGCCCTGAGCTCACTCCATGCCCATCAGTCTCTCCTTCTGCTGGTGAGAAGCTGCCCTGGACCTTAGGCTGGGAGCGTGTCCCCGCAATCCCTGACCTGCTAGGCCCCTTCTAGCAGCACAGCCCATGGGCTGGTTCTGAGCTGGCCCCTCGCACTCCGCCGCTAGCTCTTCACGGGCATGTGGCAGCGCACCTGGGTCCAGAACCTTGAATTGGGGGCAACTGATTTTAAGCCTCTCCAAGTGATGGTTGGCAGAACTCTGAGCGCCTTTTTCACCAGAAGAGGGAGAGATTCTGGTTCTTGGAAGGAACAGAACTTAATTAAAATGAGTTTCAGCATTTGGTCATTCAAGGCCAAATTCACAGCAGCTTGAAGTTCAAAGAGTTGGGGTCCATTGAGGTAGTTGGGGCTCAAGATAAATATTCCTCTTCTGCTCTTCTTAATGACGTTCACGATGTCTTCTGAATACACTGGAGATAAAAATAATGACAGTGATTAACCCTCAATTCACAGTGACCTTGACCTCCGGGTGAATCCAGGGCCCCCAATGGATGCTCCTAGGTATGGAGGGAAGGGAACCCAGAAGGGTGAGTCCTTGTCCCCAGCTCCTCCTTTCTCTCTCTGCTTCGTGCTCTGATACTTCTACTTCACTCCACCAGCTGCTGAGGCTGGATGCTAGTGAGTCCCAGGCTCACTCTCACGTGCCCCCCAGTTTCTCTAGGAGTGCAAGTCACTGGAACTGGGCAGGATAGACCAGGAGGGTAAGGGGTGCTACTGGCATCCTGGGAGGGGACAGGGGACTCCCCTGGGTGGCTCAGGTCAAGGGGCCTGCATGTTCCAGGGCTGAGAACTTCGGTCAGCTGCACTCCACAGATCAGAAGGGCCACCACCCCTCGGGGAGACAGAGAGGCTTCCTACTAAGTCTAGGAAAGACGCCTTTGTTCTGGACAGCATCCTATGGCAGACACTATGTCGGCTTTTGCTTCCAAAGGGGATTTTGTGAGGATGGAGCACCTCATGGCCTGGGCTGATGTGACGTCCTCTATGCTCCTGTGACCCCCCTGGGTGTGAGGACCCACCTCCTCCAGGGGCCACGTCCCTTTCCAGCAAACACAAGGTGAACCCATATTTGTTTTCCAGGACCTCAGGAAACAGGATCAGGGCCAGCTGCTCCTCACTGAGAGGGGCCTCGTCCTCACTGCCCATGGAGCCCCATTTCGCATAGGACACGAAAGCATCGAACTCCTTCTTATCTGAGGGAGAAGAATACACAAAACCTCAGCCTCTCACCCTTTTCTGCAATCACAGTCCACTCAGAGGTGCCTGAACCTTGTGGTACAAATCTCTTCCTCTACGATTCAGGTGCTGGATATTTGGTTCCAGCTCAGGAAAATAATGAAATACAAATGGCCAGAGGCAGGAAATCCCAGGAGTGAGCTCACAGGAGATGTCAGACAGCACCAGCAGTACTTCAGACGTCTCATGCACCGCGGAGCCCCTGTTCCTCCTATCTCCACGGAAAGCCCCAGCACACTGGTACCTTTACGCAGTCTGGAAACCAAACCACCTAGGTCCTCCACAACTGTAACATCCTGTCTCTCCAGCTTAACTGTGCAAACCCAACTGTGCTTCAAAGCCTTGTGCTGCAAGCCTCATAGCGGCCAGGAGGGTGCGATGGGGCTCTGCTACTTGGTCCTGTGGATAAAATTCGTGTTTTTGTTACTGTGAAGGGAACCAAAAGGTATAGGAGACCTGGGATTAAAAAGGAATGAAGATCTGCTGGGTCCAGGGGCACCAGCTCCCCACCAAGCATTTAATCGTGTACTGAAGACATGGCCTCAGAAAAATCTTTAGAAATGTGTAAACACAATTTAGGCAGCTGAATGTCAGCCTGGGGGGAGCTCAAGTCCTCCATCTCCATTTGTCTGCGCCTAAAAACTTTCTGAGAAGGAGGTAAAGAAAGAGTTCTTTGCATGGTAAAAAGAGAAAGGGCACATATAAATGTTTTGCCGTTCACCGGTGATGCTCCTAAGAGGCGTTTCGGTTTTGAGAAATCTTAAGCCTTCAGAAAAAGAAGCGTGAGGTTGCGCAGGGAAGCAGTGAAGATCATGGGTCATGTGAGTCCTATCATGGATTCCATCCAAAAAAAAAAAAAAAAAAAAGCCAACTGTCTAAAACTAAATAATCAATACCAAAACCACTTCTGGCTTACAGATTCCTAGAATAGGGTTGGCCCCTTCCTTGTGCTGCTGTTATGCTATTGATAGTATGTTTGTTCTGCTTTTTGGTTTTGGGGGATTGATCGTTCTGGTGCTGGAAGTTGAACCTCCAAGAAACAAAGGTGTGTATTAAAATGGCAAATATTTTGTCCTAGTAACCCCAAGGTGAGAAAAAGCAAACAAACAAACAAAAAGTTACAGCTCTTCTAGTCTAAGGAAGCCCATGGACATGATTGCCTCCTTTGCATCTAAAGACAGGTCCCTGTTTAATGACCTTTGCTTTTATCACCCTTCCTCCCACTCCACTGTCCCACAGGACACCTGCTCCGATGTCCACCGCTGACATCTTCCGGGGTTCAGTTCTAGGCCCCTGACTCTGACTTTCTCTGCTGACCCACTATGATGGCCGTGAGGATGGCCGTGGGTGACACATGTAAGGGCCTGGGCTGGAATCCTGGCTGTCGCCTGCTGAGTTTGCCTGCATGTGAAAGACACCAGCCCGAAAGCTTAGTCCTGAGGTCTCTCCCAGGGAGCTCTCACGGCCCCCTCTGCACTGCAGCTAGCGCAACCCCACTCTACAGATTTGGGGTCCAGGGCTGGACTGCTGTTTGCCACACTGCCTGAGGATGGAGCAGAAAGATTATTTTAAAGTCCCACCAGTTCCCAGATAGCATTATCTGCAAGATCACTGGTGAATGGATTGAAACAAAAATGGATTTCTCCATCTGTCTCTATTGTGCGGCTGCCACGCAAGGACCCAGAACCCCAGGGGTGTGCCTCGCACCATCAGGAACATCCATCTTGAGGGTCTCCCTATGCTCAGCCCCAGTACCAGGGGTCATCGAAAATTCATTCCCGGCAGTGACAGCATCGCCTCCCATCTTGGTGCCCGCCCCATGTCTCTGGGCTCAGAGAGGAAGTCAGGGGGCAACACACAGGGCGGCCTTACCCCCGAGAGTTTCCCCCTTCCTCTGGCAAGTCTGGTACAACAGCAGAATTTCGATCCAGTAGGTGTAGACGAGGACGCCTGCCGCCAACACGCCAACCAGGATTGACACCGTGCCAAGCAGGACATAGAAGAGCAGCACTGGGGGGACACAGTGGCTGTGAGCCTGGTGGAGGCAGCAGGGGGCTGCGGGCAGCTTGGGGGCGCTGTGGGCTGACCAGCACCTCTTTCTTCCCTATCTGTGTCAATCACTGCTGCTGGGAACCTCTTAAGTCTACAGTCAGCTCTATAATGCTCAAGGGAATGGGTACTTCCGGGTGGACTTGATCTGAAATGTCTATCACAGTCACTAGCATTATTGTCACTCATAACCTATGACTTCAACCAGCCCATCTGCATCCTCCTCATTGCCTAGCAGGAATTATTTTCATGTTTTCCCATCCTTCCTTAGGTAGGGACTCCCTGAGACCAGGAGCTATCCCTGGCTCACTGGGGCACCCTGCAAGGCTCCTAAGGCAAACACAAACTTCTGCAAGCAGAGGCCATCTCCAAGGATGCCCTCCAGACCCAGGCACATGCTCCTGGCTGCTGGTGCTGTTCATCAGATCAGTCAATGAATGTATCCAGCCCATCACAGAGACACTGAAAGGCTACTGTTGGCTTGGAGTTTCTGCTACAGCTCTTTGCAAGGCTAAGATCTGCACTGTGCATGCAAAAGGATCCCTCTCCTTCTCCCCTCTCCACCTGTGGGAACCTGAACCCCCTCCCAGGCTGCCTGGGAGCCAGGAGGCACAGAGAAAGAGCAGGGGCACCAGGGCTCCTTTACAGCACTGGCCACAGGGGTGTTTGGAGGAAGCAGCAAGGGAAGAGTGACACGCCTTCCACAGAGCACCCATTAGAGACCCGGTGTGGCTCATGCCCTCCCTGGCTCTATGGCACTGGACAATTTGTGCATGGGTCAACATTGCAAAGCGCTTAAGAAGAGTCCAGCATCTAGAAAACGTTCCATGTTATCTCCATCCCTCACCTTAGAAAACGCTGCCCCGCCCAGCAAGGGTGTGTGCACCCAGCACCCACCACCAGCTCACCTCCTCTCTTCTCCTGCAGTCGGAGGGACCTGGTCACATTCCCAATGGAGTTCTGGGCAAAGCACAGGAACTGTCACCCCAGGTCACTCTGTGTGACTTCCTTCAAGAAGATGACACGCTCCATGACTTCCTCCTCCATGGTGGACTTAACACTGGGGAAGGAGGGAGGTTGACTGCTGGGGAAGGAGGCACCCCTGGCGGGGTCCCGAGATTTCAGAGCAACCAGCAGATCTGCATGCAGAGCCCTGGGGTCGGTGCCTGTCAAGACGCAGAGGCTGGATGGCAATGCGCTGTCTTGGCCTGCCTTCCTTCCTGAGTATGAGCACCCAGATGCAAGCTGCCTATGGCCTCATCTGACTTTCCCAACCCTTCGGAATTCCCTTGGAGGACAGATAATGGCAGTCATTTGTAAACATCACACAAATGCTACCAAGGAATAGTCATAATAGCATCCTATATGCTCAGGGATAGAGGTGACTCAGAAGTCCTGAGCCTGCACTTTCAGCAATGGAGCCGGTCCCCAGCCCTGAGCTCTGCTGTCCCACCCATGGTGACCCTTGGCATGTGGCCGCAAGTTGAATTCTCTACAATTGCCCACCTCAGACTGCCCTGCTAGAAGCCCTGCGGGTGCGGTGGTGTTTCAGCCTGTGCTGCTGGGGGCCTGCATGCCAACTCGCATTCTAGCCTGCTTCCTACCTGCTCGGGCGGTGACACGTGCGTCACCCCTACTCCTCTGCTGCTGACAGGGACCCTGCAGGCTGGAGATGGACTGCAGGAACCCCCTTGCACGTCTGCCTCCTCAACCTTCCATGCACCCCAAGATGGGATGCAGCGTCTTCCCCGAAGGCAGAAACCCTCGCAGGAGCTATCACTCCTGTCAATGTCCTGTCTTCGCTCTCTGTGGCATTGCATACTCCTCAAAAGGATGTTACAGGTGTTCGCTGAAAGGTTTTAAAAATTAAAAGGCATTGGTTTACTGCATAGGTCCTGATTTGGATCAGATCTGGGGTAAACGCAAGGATGCATCTTTGGTGACCGGCATGACTGGACCCAAAGAGGTCCACAGCCACAATCCCAGGGCTCTTGAGGCTCTGAGTGCCTCTTAGAGGACCCCACTTTATTCTGGAAAGACGCCCCCAACCCCAGTCCACTTCATCCATGGATCTGGATTTTATCCTACAGACACCTATAAAGCAGGTCTGACTTCTCCTAAGCTGTAACAGCACCCGTGTGTTTCCAGAAGGGCCAGAGCTCGGCTCCCCACTCAGAGTTAAGTGGCTTTCCCTGTTGCCCTCTGTGCCTATTTTCCTTAGGCTCTGCACTGGGGTGCCCCTTCCCCTGGGAGCATTCCAGACAGCTCCAGCTTCATGAGTCTGGACCCCTGGGCCCACGAACACAGAAGGCACGGTGTTGCTACAGTGGTGAGCCAGCGTGGTCACCTCCCATGCAGGCTCCTACTTCCCTGCCCAGCAGCTTGAACCAGCACATCTATCTGCTCTGAGGCCGTCCAGCTTGAGTTTCTTTCTGTCTCTGTCTCTGTCTCTGTCTCTGTCTCTGTCTCTCCCTTCCTTCCTTCCTCCCTCCCTTCCTTCTTTTTCCTCCCTTTTTTTCTTTGCTTCACTTTCTTTCCTTTATTTGAGACAGGATCTGGTCGTGTAGTTCAGCCTGGCCTGGAACTCACTATGTAGCCCAGGCTGATCTTGAACTTGCAGGAATGCTCCTGCCTCAGCCTCCTGAGTGCTGAAATTACAGGCATGCACCACCACAGCCGGCGTGGGTAGCCTGACTTTTAAGGCAGTCACTTCACACTGTGGCTCCAAGGCAGGCTTTAAAGCTACTTTAGAGATGGGTACAGCTCGGCAGCAGAGCTCAGCACCCTGGACCGGCCTGGATCTGATCCTCAGTACCAGCAGGAACCAAACCCGGACCCAAACCAACAGGCGCCTCGCTGCAGGCAGCCAGGGCCTGGTTCCATATTCCGAGTTGACTTCATCATGGGAACAGCGGCATGTGCCCAGCAGGAGCGAGATGGCTCTGTCAGCTCTAGGCGATGTCATCTTAGGGGGACCGTGTCCCCTGTGGCCCTCAGATGTCACAGGCACACACTGAGTTCTGCATCTTCATCCTCACCCTGGTTGGTGCTGGTGGCTCATTAAATCCACCTGCTCTCTGCAGTCTGATGATTTCTGAAAGCACCTAGTCTGCGTTTCCAAGACTAAAATTCCTCCATGTTTCTCTTACCTTTTCTCCTGAAATGTTGGAAATTCCCACAGCTGGCCAGCAGATTTGATGTACCACCTGATCATAGGGTGAAGGTCACGCTGGAAGCCAAACCGAACTGTGCAGGGCAGAGTTAAAGGTTTTCCTGGAAATGAAGAGGTGGGGAGGGGGAAGCAGGTGAGAGGGTGAGGCGTGGCTGGGGGAGCAGTGACACAGAAGACAGGAAGCGCCACAGGTGGACAATTCAGGCCCAAACTTGAAGCCCTGGGGCACTACTCTCCTGAGAGCCAGTGTGTGTCTCATGCATGTGACCGCATGCGGTCAGTGTGAAGCTCGGCACGATTGTACCCGAGGGTCCTGAGGGGGCCAAGAAGAGAGCCCAGGAATTGGGGGGTTTCAGGGGTCAGGCAGGGTGTGTGTGCCTCTGCTAAGGCACAAGGTACCAAAAGGGAAAACTTCAGTAAAAGGTATTTGCATGTTGTATGAAACCACAAGATTACTGCTGCTGTGACAGAGAAGCCATTCACGCTCAGCCGCTCCTCTGAGCACCCCGGGTGAGGGGTCAGACCGAGCTCCCTGGACACCTCACAGCAAGAGACACCAGAAACGCTCTGCCTCCAGCTATTCTAACCCGTGATGGCTGGGGACAGCACCTGAGACTCATTCCTGCAGCCCCAACCTCCCCACCAGTGGGTCTCTAACATTCCACCCTGTGCAGTGTGGCTGCATTATTGTAAGTGATTTTTGTCTTTATTCCAACTTCCTCCTATTTTCCCTCCAGTTTTGATTTTATTGGGAAGTGCTTCTGAAGCAGTCGTTATGCTGATTTTGAGGGATTGGTGCATATCCTGAGCACTTCCCAACACTTTATCTACCTCCCCCCCTCACCCAGATCCCCACTTCCTCCCTCCAAAAGCCCGCCTCCTTGTTAGCCACCATCCATCCCTTAGCTTTCTCTTCCACGTATTTGTATTTTGGGCTTTCTCATGTAAGAGAAAGTATCCCATGCTTAGCTTCTTATGTCTGGCTTATTATCCCACTTAATACTATTTCAGGGTTCATCATTTTCCTACAAAGGACGTGATTTCATTCTTCTTTATGGTTGAATTTAACACCTCTCACCCCTCACCAAATGAGCAAGTGAACTGAATGGATACCACCCCAGTTCGCTGCATTGGCATCGCTGCTTCCATCATTGGTGAGATTTGCACCACGGTACTTGTTTCCACATGTCTTTCTACAATACTAAATCTTATACTGACATGGAGAAGCACATGCATTTTAGGAAAAAGAAAAACCCCATTTCGTGTTAAATACATTCATCCTTATGTGACTGTGGGGAAAGGCACAGATGCTACTAAACTTGACAAATGAAAGGCTCCCACAAGGGAGTCTGCTTCCCCTCCACCCAAGGGAGCACATCATTTTGGAATTTGAGCAGAAGTCACAGCATTCCCCCGAAGTTCCTTTAAAGCCCAGACCAAGCAGCATATTCAGAGGCTTACAGTTACTCAAGTCGGTAAATGTATTGACACAACAGAAAAATACAACCAAGTCTTGCTTGGGAGAGTCCAAACCTATTTTCATGTTGAATTCATCAGCCAGGGATCTCATTGATTGTCCCATCAAAGCAACTCCCTACGGTCAGGTTATTGATGCTTAGAGGCAAAACTAGAGGCTGGGGCTTACGGGAAATGCATAACTGTTCAAGGCCCAAAGCTGTACTTGACACCAACTCTGCCTTCCTCAGATCATGCATAGACCAGATCCTGCAAGGACAGTGTTACAGTTTGTGTTCAGATGCCCCACCACCCCCTCAAGCCTCATGCAATCATGCACCTGGCTGAGTCTGGCATTTGTGATTGATTTGTTGTCTGGCACTGGGATTGGTGGTGTGAGTGCTGTACCCGCCCAGGGGTGGAGCCAACATACAGTATAAGGGCAGGAAGAAGGTGTGTCTTTCCTCTTTTGCTCTGTTCTCTCTTGCTGCTTGCAGTAGACTCTCAGCCAGGCCATCCTGCCTTGTAGCCTGCTGAGTACAGACTGAAACCCCCACACTGTGAGAAATAAACCTTTCCTTGCTTCACTTTAAGCATCAGGTATTTTGCCGCAACAGTTAGAGAAAAAGTAACTAAGGCAGACAGTATCATTCGAGGTGACAACCTGACCCAGCTTACCAAGTTCTACTTCCAGGACGTCCTTGGCAGGATACACAATGTCTGGTTTGAACTTGGTGTCAGCCACTAAAAGATGAAAATAAAAATCATTATTTGCATCAAGAAAGCTGAACACGTGCTGGCTGAGGATTTGGGGACACCTCCATCAGTACTTTGATCTAAATGTTCCACGTTCCTTCTGCAAATTCCACCCATTATCCTGAGGCGTGGGAACTCAGGCTTCCATGTGTACATCCCAGCTTCTGGAATGACCAGGCATCAGCCATCAGTGCTGACAAATCATCCGAGGAGCTCACACCACATCCCCCTGGGCACGTGCTCCTCACCAATCTGCTCACCCTCGTGGGCCAAGGCCTCTGCCTTCATCTCCTACCCCAGTGTTTCTTTTTGGTGTCATCTGGCTGAGGAACCCAACAGGAGGGGAAATCCATGTGATAAATACCCTTCAACTTCCTGCCACAGACTTTCAAATGTGCCTGCCGCTTCAAGTGTCCTTCTGAATGCGTCCTGCCTCCTGGCGAAGGGAGAGCTGTGGTGTCTGCTTTTGATGTCACCTTAGTCTTGCAGGCCACCTTCCCCATTTCCACCCTCTCCCTCTTGTGTCTTCAGCTGTGATTTCTCTCCTTCTCTCTCTTCTCATGGGCAGGAGCATCTGCTCATTGGCCTCTCTTCCTATCTTTGAAGTGACAAGGAGCCCTCGCCTACAGCCTGCCTTATGCATTTCCTTCCTTTCCAGCAAGGACTGGATGCAGGGCTTACGCCCCCTCCCCCTCACCCCCTCACCTCTGCAGGGTCCCAATTCTTCCCCATCTTTCCACAGAAACTGCTTTACTCTGAGTCCCAACGGACAGCCTTGCACCCAACCTACCGGGCCCCGCTTTGTACCACGGCATGGTTAGCAGCATATTCTTTGACCTCTTTCTTCTCTGCCTCTCATCCACCTTTCTGCCTCTGTCTTCCCTTCTCCATGTCCCTATGGGGTCCTTTCTCCCTCTGTGCCTGTCTGAACCTCAGTCCTGTCCCTTGCATCCTGCCACTCGCTCTGTTCTCTCTGCGGCCCATCCTAGCACCAGACCCCTTCCCTACACAGGCTCTGGGCTCCCACAGCGAATCCTCCACACCACCGCAATCCACTTCCTCCCCCCCTTCTCCATGATACCCCTGGTGCTCAGGTGTCCACAGAGTGCTGCACCATCTCCTTCGGAGTCCTGGCTCCTCTTTCCACACCTGGGAAGATGCTGGAGTCAGTCCCAGGGGCCTCTCAGTGCTGCCCGGGTGGCCTCCTCCACCCCATTGGCTTTGGGTGTCAGGAAAGCTGATGACTCGCTGCTCCGGTCTCCAGCCCGAGGGCCTCCAGGTGGATCCAGCCTAACACTCACTGGTCAGCATGACATGACACTGGTCAGCTACAACAAGGCAGTGCCTAACGTCCCCTCAGGCTTCTTCTGGATTCATTTCAGGCTTATTCAGCAATGCCACCATTTTCCCTCTGTTTCTTCTATTTTACATAAAATTGGTCCTCCTGTCCTGCTGGCTTGTGAACTTGGCCACCTTTAGTCCGCTCTGTTCACAGAGCGGCCCTGGGCACTTCTAAAGAACACGAAGCTGGCCCCCGGCCACTCTTGTGCTGACCTCAGTAGGTGACAGAAAATCCGCCTGCCTGCCCAGGTCAATGCCTGCCTCTGGTCCCGTCCTCCTGTTCCCTCATCCCTGTTCACAGTCTCCTCATTACTGGAATGCCCTTCCTCAGTGTTTCCGGAGTCTACCACTTCTCCTCACCCCGCCTCCCTCTCTACTGGGGTCCCCCTCAGAAACTGCCTCATTGACCACCATAACCTCCTGAGTGTCCTCCCCACGCCGATCCTTGCTCCTGGACTCCTGGAAAGGCTTTCTATGCAGTGAGCAGAGTGACCCATCTGCACTCTCCTACCAATACCCTCAGGGACTCCTAATTGGTCCTTGGATAAATTCCACACTCATCAAAACAGCTGACCCTTGTCTTCTGGGTAGCATGGGCTCTCTGGGGTCTCCTGGACATCAACAGGACCTGGGCCCATCTCCACTGCCCCCTGGGGCTCCTTTGTCCTCATTACTCAGGTACTCCTGGACTCTGATCATTGGGTTTGGGTTTGGGGGTGCACGCTCCCCCTTCTCATGCCACACTGTATGGTGGTCTCCCGCTCCCAATCTGTCCACCCAACAAAGTGGGAAGATCCCAGAGGCCGGCGCCAGAGCCCAGGGACTCAGGCTCTAATTCTTAGCTCTAAGGCTGATGTGGTAGAACCTCAAAGAATATGTGCATGGGAACTGAAAAGAGTTAGCGTGAGTGAGCTGATGAGGGAGACAGGAGAGGCACAGTTTCCCCAGAGGGAGAAAGTCCCTTCCTCCAGGGAGATCAGGGAGCACACTGGTGAGGGGTGACGTCACTTGGAGGAGGAAGCCATACCCACAGGGCATTCACATGTTTGCTTCTCTTCTACAGAGCAATCTGACGCCAATGAAAAGGCCAAGCTCAGAAGTGGAAAGGAAAGAAGGAGCCCAGGTCTGGGTGCACACCAGGCTTGACAAAGTCTCCCTGTGTCCAGCATGCCTGTACCTTGCAGGAAAGGGAGGCAGTCAATGAACATCTTTGGTAAGAGCTGAGCTCACAGGTCCTAGATGCTTGGGTACAAAGCCTGAAGGACTCTCCTTCTCAGGCTTTCACCCTGTAGCGCACGCATACATCAACCTCGGCTTGTTTAAATCAATGAAATCGTATAACTTATGGGTGCTATGTACATCTAGTAAGGAAAACCCAAGGAGAAAGCTGGGACAGAATTTAAGACACAAAGGAGGAACCCGGTAGGGCGAGAGAGATAGGACAGAACACTTCAGTTTGTCATTAGTCACGGAGATATGTTAGGAGGAGAGAGAAAAAGAAAGAAAAGGAAGGAAGGAAGGAAGAGAAATATAAAGAAAGAAAGAGATAAAGAGAAACAAAGAAGAAAGGAACAGAAGGAATGAAAAAAGAAGGAGAGAAGAAAGGAAAGAAGGGGAGGCCATTGATGCTGATCAGAAAGTCTGGGGAGGGAAGGATTACGGTGTTCAGGAATAATGGGGATTCCTTGTTGATGGGAGCAGAAATTGGCAAAGCCTCGCCTTGATACAGTGCTGCCTCGTGTGGCAGGAAACACAGTTGATCACAAAGCAGTGCTGTGCTGCACTCGTGGGTGGGTATGTATTTAGGAGAGGTCTGAAAAGCACCAGTGCAAAGAAATAAACTGCAGGACTGTGAGACTCTTGGGCAGGAAACCCTGACAGCCCTGGGGACACAGATCCCCCAGCTGTGGCTTCCATGCTTTGTTTCTCTTAAAAAAAAAAAAAACCACGATTTCAGGCATGCGGAACAATACTAACACACTCTGGGATTCGGCTTGATTTCACCTCATCTGAGGCTTTCAAAACTACAAATTTTCTGAGTGTGGGGGCGCATGCCTGTAATCCCAGTACTCAGGAGGCTGAGGCAGGAAGATCACTGAGTGCAAGGCCAGCCTGGTCTACACAGTGAACTCAAGGCCAGCCTGAAATGCCCAGGGAGACCCTGTCACACACACACACACACACACACACACAAAAGGACTGCAGTTTTTCACTGTCCCCGTTTTCCCTGAAAGGACAAAGTGGCCAAGGAGATCACTTTTGGGTCAAGGACGGTCTCGGAGCTCCTGGTACCATGGGCCACACTTACCGATGGTTCTCACTTGCACCACAGCTCTGGTGGTCAAGGAAGTCACGTTTGGTGACACAGTGTAGTCGCACACATACGTGCCCTGGTGGTAGTCATAAATGTCATCCAGCAGAATGGAATCGCTCTTTTCCCCAGGGAGGACTCTTCCATTCTGGTCCAAAAGACAAAAAATGTTGAAGACATTTCTGGAAGCAGGGAGTTTTAATTCACTGACCCTCGGGCGTCAGTGGAAACCTTCATGCATCCAAATCAGGAAGGAATCACTGATTTCAGAGGAGGGCACAATCTAAGCTACAAAGACCCTGTACTCAGCTCCATGCTGTGCAGTTCTTACAGGGAACAGGAGAGGAGGAGCCTGGGCACTCAGCTCTCAGAGAGCTCTTCACCCGCTGCCTCCCACTGCATGACTCAGGTCCCTGAGACAGTTTGAAGGAATGATGCTTAGATGAATATTTAAAGACATGCATGTATGTGTGCTTCCAGGAAATTGCAACAGGTTTTCTCTAGGTGAGAGTAATACACAGTTTCTTCTTTTGAAAAATCTAACCCTAAGAAACACTGCTGGAACCTGGCGATGCACAGGCACAGTGAAGCTGGTGGCTGGCAAACCTGAAGGCCTTGGTGAAGAAATGTGATGGCAGAAGGCAGCAGGAACCAGGGAACTGCACTGGCTGGTGTGCCCGAACTCACGCGGCTGTGACTCAGCCAACTTCCCGGATTCCCTCTGTGTCCACTCACCAGAGCCACGGTCACACTGGGGTGTGGGCTCACTGAGGTCAGAGATCAGTGAGACCAACAGAAAGCTGAGCCACCTACATTGACCTGCAGTGAGTGTCGGGAACAAAACATTTCAACCGGAAAGGGAACAACATCCTGGAACCAGGCAGGACTGGCAGAAACAAGGTATTGCAGAGAATACAGTCAGTTTCTCCCTTCCCAGATGGGATTGGTGAGATGTGCTTGGCCTGGGTCACGCCCCTGGCTGGGAAGCAGTAGGGTGTCCCAGACCAATTACCTAAGGGCTGCACACACTAAGGCATGGTGAAGGCCTGGGGGAGAAGGGCTGACTGACTGTAGGGGAGGAGCCAGTATATGTCTTCCCTATTTGTACCTCAGCAGCACACTGGAGTAGGCAGGGTCACCTAGCCAGTCTGCTTCAGAAGAACCAGAGTCAACATAAAAAAAGGACTGGGGCTTTCTTTACCTGCCTGTATGGAAGAAATAAAAAATATAAGAAGAGAAAACAATAAGAAAAAGCCTCCAGCCCCCAACGCTGAGAACACTGATCCAAGAACGGTAAATACAAAAGAGATTGAGGGCAGCAAACATACAATATCAAATACGGTATCAATAGATGTAAATAAATATATTCAGGACCTCATAGGTAAGTTTAAAAGAGAAATATTTAACCAAGTAAAGCAAGATATAAATAGATTAATAAAAGAAATGCTAAGCACCTCTCAAGTAGACACAGATGGAAGAATGGAGGAACACAAACAATGGAGAGAACCATTTGATGAAAAATATAAAGAAAATATAGAATACATGAAGCAGATTCAAAGACATTACCAGGAAATTAAAAAGTCCATTGAAAGCTGGCAAAACTACTTGAAAAAAACTAAGGATAGATTATCCAAACTGGAGGACAGGTTTTCAATGTGGGCTTATAAAATGAAAATCTTTTTTAAAATAATAAGGAAACAAGCAGTAACAATACAAAAGCTAGACGGTGACAAGAGGATCTATAACTTGAGAATAAAGAATGTGAACTAAGAAGCAGAGGTACAAACAAAGGAACTACAAAGGCTACTCACAGAAATAATTAAGGAAAACTTCTCAAACATAGGAAAAGGAAATGATATTCAGATATATGAGGCATACAGAACTGCAGCTACTTGCAACCAAAATAGAGCCACACAGGCATATAATAATCAAGATCCCAGAAACTGAATATAATAACAGAATATTAAAAGCTGTTAGAAATAAGAAACAGATCACATATAAAGGAAGGCCCATCAGAATTACAGCAGACTTCATGACACACGTCTTCATGACCATCAAGTCAAGAAGAGCTTGGAGTGAAATATTTCAAGCACTGAAAGAAAATAACCTGCAGCCCAGATTGATATGCCCTGCTAAACTGTCTCTAGAAATTAATGGAGAAACAAGATGCTTCCAAGACAAAGAAGAACTGGGGAAATTCTCAATCACCAATTCAACTCTGTGAAGAATACTGCAGGACATTCTAGGGAATGAGAAAAGTACCAGGATTCCAGGAACAGTGGCAGAGAGGCCTCAATGAATGAAGCAGAAAGTAGAATGAAGAAGGCAAGTAGACAACTAATTGCAAACAAAGAGCATAACAGAAATGAGACAGAGAAGGTTGGTTATAAACTCTAATATAGATGGCCTTGCTACAATACATTTTAAAAAAAGAGAATTACAGGTAGAGTAGATCAGGAGGTAGGGTCCATTGAGATGCTCTTTATAGGAAATATAATTAACCTGAAAAAGGGTATATGGACTGAAAATGAAATATGGAAGAACAATGCTCTATGGGACAGGAAGCCAGAGAGTAACAGGGGCAACTAGACCAGTATTTGTGAGTAGTTTGGAAAGACAGGCTTTAATAGGTAAAGGGATATAATTCGAGATCAAGTCCAGGGGGGAGAAAGTTTGGAACCACTTAGGTAAATAGCAGGTTGCCCCCCACCAACTTAAAACTGAGAGTCTAGGTAAGACCCAAAAATACACAGTGTACCCTGGGGAAGTGAAAAGGGAGGAATAGTCTTTAAAAGGATGGCAGAAGATATTGTTAATAGTGTATCAAGTATTAAAACCCATATTACTCACACCACTCTGCTTAGATAGACTTTATTCTATCCAACTTTTTCTACTTGCATTAGATTTGAGGGCACAGACAGCTATCCTAAAAACACCACGAATTAGCACAGTAATCATCTTTAATTTCCTACTAACTTAATTTGGAGCCCTGATTACTTATACTGGTTTATCATGACTGATCTTAGTTAAATCTAGTTTGTTTGATTACTGTTTGGTATTGACAGATTTTATTCAAAATTTGTATGATTGATAGCATGAAGTCTGAGAATTTAGGCAGTTACACTGAAGATGACAAGACTCATTATGATAACCATTCTGGCTTCATTACTACTTGTTTTTGACATTTTATACTACACACAAAATTGTGTTTTTACTGATACTGTTATGTACCAACATATTCAATTATATGGTGTCTGAAGATATAGCCAATTCTATTGAAGATAACAAGAGACAACACAGTAACCATGGTAGAACCCCTCGTACAGAGGTATTATATGTCTTTTTCGTTTCATTGGTTTATAGGAATATGTTTTGTTTTGTCTTGCTTTGTTTTGTTCCTCCCTCTAACACAGAAATGATAGAAATACATGTTAAGACTCATGCATGCGTGGAACCAATAAACATTTTATGAGAACTGATCTTATGATTCATGATGAAATGAACAAGTACTTTGAAGAAAAAGAGACACTCACAGTACCCTGGGCTGATCCAGGAGAATCATAATGTAAAACCCAGCAATATTATTATTCTTTGTTCAGAGTGATTTTTTTGTTGAACAGAACTGGTTGCAGTTTCGTTGTTTGAAACCCTAATTTATATGCTCCACTTTTGTAACTTGAATGACTTTGTAAGAAGACAATATGTAAATATCAACTTGTGATTTCTTACTGTTCATTCTTCCTTTGAAAGTATGTATTATATCTACCCATTTTGTTTTGTTTAGTCTTTCTTTAAATAAATTAAAAAAAAAAAAAAAAAGCAAAGGGGGAAAAAAAGAAAAATCTAACCCTAACAAGAGAATCCAATCGAAGATACTATGTGAATAAGCAGGGGCATAGAAACATTACAAACAGAGACTGAAGACTGAAGACCTAACTTTGCAGGACCCAGAATCAAGTAAGAAGTGAAATGCGGGCACCACCCTGCCCTGCCTAACTCAGGATCTACCAACGACTCCCTTTCCCCCAGGATGGGTCACACGTTCCGCACTATCTGCTCCCTCTTGCTTCCTGACACCATCCTACCACCGCCTGCCCAGCCTCGGGGAGCCAGGGATTGCCCTGACCTGACCTGGCATCGCCCCTTGTTCCCCTGCAGGCCAAAGCTCAGGCTCCAGCCCAACTCCAGAGGTGACAACTGTGCAGGGCGGGCACTTGTGACCCCACAGAGTCAGCTACTTCCTGTCCCCGGGGAGTGCACAGGCTGCCTGTGCCCTGTGTGATGAGGGGACATCCTATTATGGAGCTTGGGGCTTGGGCACACTGTGTAATAAGCCGTCCCCTCCCAGCCCAACGTCAGGCCCTGGGGTCTGGAGGCCATGGGTCAGAAGGCTGGGAGGGAGTCAGGGGAGGTGAGGATCCCTTATGTGCACCTGAGGCATAGGATAGACCAGTGGGGAGCCAAATATGCAAAAGTTTAATCTTTAAAACTGACAGCATTGAAATGCACATGGCCGTTAGCACCCGGACACTGGCTTGGAGTGCAGGGACCCTCACTTTCTATCTTTGGTCATGACTTTCTTTATGAGGTGAGATCAAAAACATGGTAACTGCTGCTGACCAGTGCCATCTGCGGGAAAGGGAGGGTCATGAGAGCACGGGGCACCCCCATCCACCAATTCACCAACTCTGGCGCTAGGTGACCAGGCTCTCCCCCAAAGTCAAAATAACTGTGAAAGAGAAACGTTTTGGGTCCATTCAGGACACAGAGTTAGACTCAACAGCAGTGTCACTACAGAAGACCTCTGGAACTGCTGCAGAAAGTGGCAAGGATGGTAGCACCGGGCCCAAAGGGTGCAGGTTATTTGGGGAGGGCATCATGGCAATGTGTCTCACTGTAATACAACTCTAAAAAATCTGAGCATTATGTTTTCCCATCACACCTCATATAGGGAGACAAGGCCAAGGTCAGAGCGCTGATGGCCTTTGGAAATGGTCATGTCTGTCCAGTTTGTGGCAGATGGATGGAATTGGGGTCTTCCTGTGCCAGCTGCACGAACATATGAAAGTGCAGGGAGGAGAAAGGTTTCAAGCCAGAGGCCACGTGATCAGGCATTCTTTAAAAACTGTGAATGACAGCTAGTTATGG